TGGTCATATAAGGCGACGCAAACCTATGATTATGTGTTCGAATCCCGGTTCGCCCCGATTTTGTTTCTATGTGTGTCAGCACCCGTGTCGTGGGTTTCGCCAAAACGGTAAACGTCTGAGACCTGTATCACTTCGGGCTTTCATCCCACTTCATGCTGACACGCCGTGGTATAACTGGAATCTTGTTCAAAGCGGCGTTAAACCTTACTAACTCACTCACGCTCTGCTTGTTTGATTTGAACATGTATCCTCGAAAAACATGGGATACGTTCATCGCGATGAGATGGGATAAACTTCACTTCTAACTGTATGTTTGCCATCTTGCAAGTTCACAGACTATTTGCACAGGCTCCACCTATTATATATATTCTGTACAATGTTCTTCATTCAGTCTTGCTTGACAAGGGTATGGGGATCTATACCGAAGCGTCGCCTTTGCAGTATTTAAGTTGTTATCCATATATTGTGTCTACTTTGTCATATGTGAGTCACGTAGTAATTGCTGACTGAATACTCTTTGTTTGTGTGGAGTGAATGAGAGAGACATACAATATAAAAAATAAATATGATCCTTTACCAACATAATATCTCAGAAATGGTATAGTGATATTGTGTAATTTCACCGTGATCTGTGTCTGTGTAAGTGCAAGTGAGTTGTCTCCCCTCTTACTGGAAGTATGGAGCGCACTTAAAATATACACCATTAAGCTTGTCAGAATCATCACCACTACCTTATTCAAATCACAAGGAATATGTTTGTTTGTTTGTTTGTTTGTCGATCTATACATAATCGAGTAAGAACCAGACAAGAATCCAGGGATTGACATTATGAGAATCGTTCTATGCAATTGGGATATGATGACATCAATCAACCAAGTCTCCTCTTTCGACAGGCGTTGGTTGCTGAAAACCAATCTCAACCCAGAATCTTTAACTTCTAACGGTCTAGAGAGATTATCCCTCCCGAACGGAATTAAGGATTTTTAATTAGGAAATTGTAAATAAATTATCTCCTTTGATACATCGATTCCATACTAGAACAAATTCTGAACACGATCGATTCATCTACCAAAACGCTAATGTCAGAGTTAATGAAGAAATACTTGTTGGACTCGGAGAATCCTCTGCTGACAGACCCACATATGATATGTACTAAGGTAATCCTATATGTACTAAGCTGAAAGTAAGAGAAGACAGAAATACCCCTGAAGAGCCCCACCAGCTAGCCACGGCCCTTAACGGGCAACAGACTGCACAGCCGCACCCTTGTGTTATACATCCGAGAAGTCTGCCAGGAGACGACGTATCTAACAATGAGTGCAATGTCCTCAACAGTCAAACGCTCATTCTAGCATAGGATATCCAGAACATTAGCACTTCACTGGATTGTCATGTTTTATGAAAACGGAAATTTGATTGATCTACCTAAAATAACCATAACTCTTTGAGCAGCTGAGGACGAAATGTACAGAATTCATACACCATAAAACCTTCACCTGAAAGTATCTATCAATGAAGGATGACAGGATGTTTTCCTGATGGTGAAGCAGGGTCACAATTCTTGAACATTTATTGAAGAGTAACAAACATTTCACAGTACAGACGATCATCTCTTAGCCTTGCGAGTTCCACATATCGTCTGTTCGAATTTCCGATTCTGACAGTTCTGTGACAAACGTGGATCTCTCCCTTCTGTGGATAATGTCCCAAGTTTGGAACACTTACGTCTCTCCTCCTTCTCGTCCTTTTGTTTATGCGGTTTAAATCCGTTTTTACTCACAAAAAGCAGGGATAGAATAGGTCTTCAGCAATCCATGCGACGAACGGGATCGGGTGGTCAGGCTGGCTGATGTGGTTGATGCATGTCATCCTATCTGGTCCAGACTCGATTATTTACAGACCGCCGTCATATAGCTGGACTATTGCTGAGTGCGGCGTTAACAAACAAAGACAAAAAACACTAAAAGCAACAGTAAAATATGTAGGTATTGTATTACACAATACATATGATACAAGCACAACTTGGATGTATTCACATGACTCAACCGTCACAAGTCAACGTCTTTTTCTATGACGCGGCCGGGGATCGAACCCCGGACCTTCCGCTCTCCGGTTGGACGCACTACCACTATCACAAGTATAAACATTATATACAACTATACTCTCCACTACAAAGCTTGAAATGCAAACTAGCTGTATATTCATCATGTACGCTTTTCTCAGGAGAATATGATTATAGTCGCCTGTTTATTAGTGTAAACAAGTTACATCAATTAATTATTTGTTATTTTTCGTCTTTCACCTTCTCAAACACCTGTGTGCCACGTTGCTTAATCGACGATTATGCCTAAAAGTTGGTTGGTTGGTTGGTTGTTTAACGCCGCACTCAGCAATATTCCAGCTATTTGACAGCGGTCTGTAAATAATCGAGTCTGGACCAGACAATCCAGTGATTGATATCATTAGCATTAATCGACACAATTGGGAACGATGACATGCTTCAACCAAATCAACCAGCCTGACAACCCGATCCCGTTAGTCGCCTCTTACGACAAGCATAGTCGCCTTTTACGACAAGGATAGGTTGCCGTAGATTGTATGTTATTCGACTGGGAAGTATACATTAATTGCACCAAACCACACAATGTGACAATTATTGGTACATCAGTTACTCATGTTTTATCATGTACCGAAAAGCCACGCGACAACCACACTTTGGTTCTGGTCGGAAGTCCCCCGGCTGAAGGTGAACACCGAAACGCTTCAGATCCTCATTGAGGAAATAGACAAGATTGGTCCCATCCATTGTGAAGGAGGAGTATTTGACGTTGATGACCTGATGCCCCTCAGGAATACCAGCCACCTTGCACAGAGTGAACATGTGTTGAGAGGAATCCGAGAACTGGATGTACAAGACACCACTTTGATACCGACTTGCCATCAGGCCTTCCCGCACCTGATTCAGGCAGTCGTCATATCCGGCTATTCCACGTTTCCACTTGTCTCTCAAAGCCTGCACAAAGACTGGTCCCCATTGTAAATGTTTAGCAAGCAAAAGGCTAATGCCGAAAATGTTTGCATATTTGCTTACAGCAACTGCCTTGTCGGGATTGTACTGAGCATTCTTTGTCTTGTCTAACGAGCTCTGTCTTTGTTTACAGACAATGCATGGATACCGAGCGTATGCAGAGATCAAATTACTAGAAGCTATATGTCCATATATTTCCAATGTATTTCATAAAGTTTGATGGTGCATTAATGCCTGTACATGGTCATGGAAGGAAATAAAGTGACAAAAGTTATTGATTCTGCTTGTATTTCTCTTGGTATTTCAAACATCAGGGTGCCAATCTTATCTCATATATGCCAAACCTGCATCAAACATGTTGTTCAATTCCCTATATATTTCTGTACGGGGAAGTTTAAGGGAAATGTTTCATTTTCAAACGTTTGAAATAAGGTTTGAAATTGTAAACTGTCCAAATTAACACAAGTACATATGTACACATGAAAAAGTCATTAATTTGTGTGTGTGTGTCGCTACCTCCTGCCACATGACGTAACACACCTGCAAGATTGTAGGCGGGTATGGACACTGATGTAAGTGTGTGCATTTCTCCAACATTTCCAAACATTCCCAAACTAGGTATACATATAAATATAACCAAATGATTTGGAATGCTTGCAAAATGTTTGCATTTTCATCAATACCAACACCTTTCAAAACGTCAGGAAAGATGCTTTTTCGTGTCGTGATAGGGGGCACGGGTGGCCCAGTGGTCTAAGGCGCCGCGATTCGCTGTGCAGAGTTGCGTCCCCTGGATCCGCCAGAAACCTATGATTGTGTGTTCGAATCCCGGTTCACCCCGATTATGTTTCTAGGTTTGTCAGCACCATACCCGTGCTCGTGGGTTTCACCGAAGTGGTAAACGTCTGAGACCTGCATCACTTCGGGTTTTCCTCCCACATTAAGCTGACACGCCGTGATATAACTGGAATAATGTTAAAAGCGGCGTTAAACCCGACTCACTCACTCACTCGTGTCGTGATTAGGAAACGAACATTAAATAGATGTCTACTATAACTGAACCAACACGATGAACATTTTGTTTTTACCAAGACCAACACTGAATTCTGAATACTCTTCATCACTCTCACAACGGGTTCAAAATAAGTCAAGAGTGAAAAGGAACCCAGTATTCTGCAAGCTTTAATCAATTCAGCTATTAACGATATTCACATATATTCTTTTACATTGTACATATGTCAAAAAGTACTCACAAAAGTAACAATTTTCATTTTAAAAATGTTTGTGTCCTGGCCTTACATAAAAGCGACAAAAAAACACCTGGTTCGGCAAAATGGCAACGGATTTGTTTTACGCCACAGTCAGCAATATTTCAGCTATTTAACATCATCTAAAACCCTGGTACAAGTAGCAAACAGTCAGCCAGTGTACCCACCCTAGTCGGCACTTGCAACACGTATGGCATATCATGGACCTATTCTGACACGGAAATCCCAAGGAAATTAAGAACCTAGAGAAGCAGCAAAACGTAAATCGCTCTGTTAACAGTTGTCTTGCATTAGTATCATGTTTGAGTTTGAGTCTATATACATTGAAAAGAAATGTTCCGTAATAATACTAGTAGATCTTGCTAGATTTGATCATCAATTAGACGAACATTAACCAATGACCCAGCGCTTCAAAATCACAGCAGCAGGCAACAGAGCTCTCCAGCCATGCCACGGTGGATTCACATTCCTTTCATCAAATTATCTGTCGTCTCAATGTGTGACAATTTGGATCACCGTCCAATTCTGAATCCCATTGCTGCTTTGCGACCACATAGCGGGCATACCCTCAGACAAGAGTCGGTGAAGATATTACGTCTTTTCAGGTCGACTGCAAGAAGATTGAAAAAGATAGATGGGTTTGGGTCGAATTCTAAAGCAATGGTGTCATAATTGCCTGTCACTGTTTCTGTAATCCTAAAGTGTCAACAATCAAAACTTCTTGTGCGAATGTAAAAGTACCTTGTGTTGATATCGTTCAATTTACTTTTCACACAATCCCAAAGACTTTGGTAGTCAGGTAGCTTCTTTTTCCATATTCCGTATAACACTTGTTCAAAGTCTTCGAGGACAGGTGCCCTCAGTTCCTCTAATCCAAAGTACTCCGCATATTCATTAACCTCTGATGCTCTTTCGGGTGGAGGCATTTTCCCGAATCTCAGAAAGTTGAGGATATGAACAAACACATCCCCATCTACATCTATGAAGTAGCGGCCATCTTTGTCCTTGGCTACCGGATGCCTTCCACTAAACATGGTGGCCAACATGGAGTCCGGGTACTTGGTGAGGGTAGACAGGGAGGTTGTCAGATGTCGACCACCAACGTTTAAGTCCACAACTTGAGAATCCTGAAATACAACACATTGTTAATGCACATGTGATTCTACCTTACATTTAGAAAATACTCGATTCTTATTGGTCTATTACGACAAGCATGGTCGCCTTTTACGGGTTCCTGAAGACCTATTCTACCCCGGAATCTTCACGGTTTGAGAGTAACTGGTGTTCATGTGGAAGGGATGCTATTGCCAGTGCTGATACAAGTCAATACGTTAGGTTATTGAGTACATGGTACCTCCAGCTTATCAAACGTTCAGAAAGGCAACTAGGAATAATGGACTTGCCAGAAACCTATGATTATGGGTTCTAACCCGGTTCGCCCCGATTATGTTTCTAGGTTTGTCAGCACCATATCCGTGCTCGTGGGTTTCACCGAAGTGGTAAACGTCTGAGACCTGCATCACTTCGGGCTTTCCTCCCACATTAAGCTGACACGCCGTGATATAACTGGAATATTGTTTAAAGTGGCGTTAAACCCAACTAATTCACTCTCTCACTCATATGTACACTCATTCCGGTTATGATTCGAAAGAGTGAGTGAGTGAGTGTGGTTTTACGCCCCTTTTAGCAATATTCCAACAATATCACGGCGTGACGAGCGAACGCTTCAACCACTAGACTACCCGACCGCCCGATTCAAAAGACGAAAGGTGAGGTGAAATGGCGTTTAACATCGCGTCCAAGATTATTGCACTTATATAGCGACGTGCATGTGTTTGTGTGGCTGCCTGTACTAGTCCGGACTGATGCCGATTTATAGTGCTAGCTCACTGAGATACCATGCCGTAGTTTAACATGAATACCCCACTCAGACACGGAAAACTGACTCCGAGCCGACCAGTCCTTGTTTTAGCCACTTAATGCCGAGCGCCAGACAGGGTCGCAACAAGTACCATCTTTTAACGTCTTTTGGTATCACGCGGTCGGGGATCGAACCCCGGACCTTCCGCTCTCCGGGCGGTAGCTCTACCACTAGACCACGGAGGCGGTCAAAAGACGAAGGAGCATGTGAGTGAGTAAAGCTTCAGGCCACTTTTAGCAATATTCCTTTAATATCATAACGAGGCGCCCAGTGATAATCCAGGTCTTCGCAATCATGGGATTGTAACTGTAATCTTCATCGGAAAATTATGATTATTAATCATACCCCGAAAACACTTTTATGGACAACCTCGATAAATATATTTACCAGGCAAATAAGGTCAAATCTGTTCAATGGTAAGTCTTTTTCTATTTGTTTTTGTTTTATCTTTAAGTCGAAGAGCCTCCTAGGCTCAGTAATGTCTGTGCCATATAGCGACAAATAAACTTTTTGAAGATGGGTATGTGAAACATGGGATCAACGATTTATCAGTTAGTGTAATAATGATCTAAAAATATCATTTGACTCGTGACATGTTTAGGGTCATTGTGACCCACATAGCTATAAGGCGAGGGTAATTATATATATACTAGTATATATACAATGGAAATTCAACACAATTTCATTTGTTTTATTTAAGCGGCTTCGGGAAGTATACTTTTGGGAATGCATGGATTTTTTTTCAGCAGACTGATCTTTAACCACTAGACTACCCATCACATATTATCGGGGTCATAGTGACCCAAGGTTATGGAAAACTTGGACGTGTGCTAGATTAGTCACAGTTTCAAAACGTATTATACCAGATTTATAAAGGCTTTTGTACGAAGAATTAGCTTGGTAAGACCAGCGTACAAATGGCTCCAAGGACAGCCATTTGTACGCCGATCAAGCCACTAGAGCTTGTACTTAAACCTTTGAACACATGAATATTAGCTGCACATTTGTCGTCCTGCAGCTGTTGCTATACACACAACGCCTACATATGATATTTATTTACGACTCAGTATCAGCTCTTTAAACTGTGGTGACATTTTGATAAGTTGACAAGCACATGATAACATATGACATATGATTTCATGTTCAGGACAGACTAAGGCTTCTGAAAAAGTAGGGTTTTTTTTTTGTTTTTTTTTTCCTAATCTTACAAAACCTTTTGAAACAAGGGTAAATTTGTATAAGTGGACAAGTAAATAACACTTAGCACTGACCAGAATGTGACCGGGACAGTTACAGTGATTCAGATTTATTATTAATTAACTTTAAAAATAATAATTACTTCAGACAATGAGGGAAGTTTGTTAAATACCCTCTTCGCTTTGTGGTATGTTTTTCTTACCGCCATTGTTCTGTCACTGGGTGAAAATAGTAACACTTACCGCCATTGTTCTGTCACTGGGTAAAAACAGTAACACTTACCGCAATTGTTGTGTCACTGGGTGATAACATTAACACTTACCCCCATTGTTGTGTCACTGGGTGAAAACAGTAACACTTACCGCCATTGTTCTGTCACTGGTGAAAACAGTAGCACTTACCCCAATTGTTCTGTCACTGGGTGAAAACAGTAACACTTACCGCCATTGTTCTGTCACTGGGTGAAAATAGTAACACTTACCGCCATTGTTCTGTCACTGGGTAAAAACAGTAATACTTACCGCAATTGTTGTGACACTTGGGTGAAAACAGTAACACTTACCCCCATTGTTCTGTCACTGGGTGAAAACAGTAACACCTACCGCCATTGTTCTGTCACTGGGTGAAAACAGTAACACTTACCCCCATTGTTCGGTCACTGGGTGAAAACAGTAACACTTACCGCCATTGTTCTGTCACTGGGTGAAAACAGTAACACTTACCCCCATTGTTCGGTCACTGGGTGAAAACAGTAACACTTACCGCCATTGTTCTGTCACTGGGTGAAAACAGTAACACTTACCGCCATTGTTCTGTCACTGGGTAAAAACAGTAACACTTACCGCAATTGTTGTGTCACTGGGTGAAAACAGTAACACTTACCCCCATTGTTCTGTCACTTGGTGAAAACAGTAACACTTACCGCCATTGTTCTGTCACTGGGTGAAAACAGTAACACTTACCGCCATTGTTCGGTCACTGGGTGAAAACAGTAACACTTACCGCCATTGTTCGGTCACTGGGTGAAAACAGTAACACTTACCGCCATTGTTCTGTCACTGGGTGAAAATAGTAACACTTACCCCCATTGTTCTGTCACTGGGTAAAAACAGTAACACTTACCGCAATTGTTGTGTCACTGGGTGATAACAGTAACACTTACCCCAATTGTTCTGTCACTGGGTGAAAACAGTAACACTTACCGCCATTGTTCTGTCACTGGGTGAAAACAGTAACACTTACCCCCATTGTTGTGTCACTGGGTGAAAACAGTAACACTTACGTCATTGTTCTGTCACTGGGTGAAAACAGTAACACTTACCCCCATTGTTCTGTCACTGGGTAAAAACAGTAACACTTACCGCCATTGTTCTGTCACTGGGTGAAAACAGTAACACTTACCGCCATTGTTGTGTCACTGGGTGAAAACAGTAACACTTACGCCATTGTTCTGTCACTGGGTGAAAACAGTAACACTTACCGCCATTGTTCTGTCACATGGTGATAACATTAACACTTACCCCCATTGTTGTGTCACTGGGTGAAAACAGTAACACTTACCGCCATTGTTCTGTCACCGGTTGAAAACAGTAACACTTACCCCCATTGTTGTGTCACTGGGTGAAAACAGTAACACTTACGTCATTGTTCTGTCACAGGGTGAAAACAGTAACACTTACGCCATTGTTCTGTCACTGGGTGAAAACAGTAACACTTACCGCCATTGTTCTGTCACATGGTGATAACATTAACACTTACCCCCATTGTTGTGTCTATTCAATGAAGGGCTCTTGGAAGTAGTGCGGTGGACATGCGTGTTGATCAGAGCTGACGTGTCGGAATTTTCATCAACCACATGGTCTACTTTCGGTTCTGTTTCTAGGAAAGAGGGAAACAGCGGACTTTCAATATCATTTACATGGCTACTTTCATATCGTGTTATGACTCATCTGTCTGCTCATACGGTTCTACGGCGGAGCTAAGGAGCGTGTTATTGAGTTGGAATGTGAACAGGAGGAGTGAGTGTGTTTGTTTGTTGTTCAACGCCGCGCTTATCATTATTCCAGCTATATGACGGAGGTCTGTAAATAATCAAGTGTGGACCAGAAAATCCATTGATTAACATCATGAGCATCAATCTACGCAACTGAGATACAATGACATGCATCAACCAAATCAGTGAGCCTGACCATCCGATCCCCTTAGTCTCCTCTTACGACAAACACAGTCGTCTTTTACGGCAAGCTTGAGTTGCTTAACACCTATTCTGCCCCGGATCTTCACGGGTGGAACGAGCGAGTGAGAGTTTGGATGTAGACGCGTTCGAGGGCTTGAATGTATTATTCACATGGGCGACCAATGCTGTTTTCTATACCATTTAAAATATACGTCTTTTACTTTCAGGAAACAGTTACCGCTGTTCGTTTACTTACACCAATGACTAAAAGTACACTCAGTATACCAAAATTGGAAACAACAATTTAGACTTTAGGTATAATTTTGTCAATGTTTTTATTCCCTGAAAGTTAAAAAAATACAGCGACTTAAGAAAATTATAAATAGATTGCGTACTTTACGTCCCTAATGATACAAAAATTGATGATAAAATTTTGAATCAAGGCATATGCAAAAATTGCAAATCGTTTAACGATGAGAAATTATTCTTTAGTGAGTGTGTGAATGTCGTTTTACGACACAATTGCTAATATGCACCTATTCGCTGGTATATATGTCTTTTGTGTTTACTGTATGTCTATGAAACCAGCTGATGCAGGTGTCAAAACCAATACTCCATGCTTTTCGTAAGAGCGGAATGTTTACCGAGATGCGACTGGTTACAGGCGGTGACCACATATAAATGCTCGCACTATCAACCACTGGTCTGCCTGGTCCAGATTCGATCATTTACTAGTCTCCCTGGTATAGCCGATGCCAACTGCTATACACGCATTGCTATACACCCACTTCACCCACCGGGATGGTCGGGTAGCGTCGTGATTCAAGCGTTCG